AATACTGCAACATTTATACAGACACTGTTTCTTACATAGACCAGATTCAGTCTGTTAAACTCAATATAGGAAGACAACTTTGAACACATTGTTATGGATTTCTGTCTTACACAAAACAACATGCACTTCAGGTTCCAACCCCTCTACAACCATCTTTCCCTTTAACATTAGCCTAAATATTTTCTACATAGAGAGGTGGGTTTAGTACAGTCACTTGAGGTTGCATGTGTGAGGGTGATGAAAGCTTATTATATTATGAACCTATGAAAGTCTCACTGTGATGCCAACATTAGTCGGCTCCTTCCCAGCAATGAGCCCATAAAGCTGCTGTAGTGCCTCCTCTTTGCTTTTGCCTTTAAAACGCTTGGAAGCCAACTCAGTCAGGGCCTGGCTGAACTGCTCAAACGTGATTACACGAGCAGACTTTGTCCTGAGAAAACAAAGTTGAAATCCCTTCTGAAGAAAGCAACAACTTTATCAAATGGTGTTATTTACATTTTTCCATGTGAATAGAACAAAACATACACAGTTTGACTGTCAGACATGTTTAGATTAAAAGAGCACACTAGAAAATGAAAATTCACTACACATAGTGATAACCACTTCTGAGAAATGTCATCACAATGTACAAAGCTCTATACATTTTAAAAATTTTAAAACATGGTGGCAGAAGCAGTGGCCATAGTAGAAGACTTGCATGTGCTCCTGCATGTTTTAGCTTAGCTGCACTAGATGACAAATCGCTTCTGTGCAGATGATATGCAGCTGCTGACATTACTACTTTGCATGGCTGTTTCTGTACTATTAAATTATTGTAGTTGTGGAAGGTGGAGCCTGAAATTTAAATCTTACTTGACTTTGCTAAAAACTATGTCAACATCTGTGGTGGTGACGTTCTTGCCGTCATTGATGTTACAGTCCTTGCAGAGCAAAGTTAAGGATAATCACCTTTATTTGGCCAAGTATGTTACACACAAGGAATGTGTTTCTGGTACAGAACCGATGGCAGCCATCTGCGGCGCTAACTCACACCGACGGTTCTAACCATCGGGGGCAACTTGTGGGTTCAGTGTCTTGTCCAAAGACACTTTGACATGTGGACTGCAGGCACTGAGATTCAAACCTCCAACCCTCTGGTTGGGAATCAACTGCTCTACCCAGTGAACCACAGTCACCCCTGTTCTTGCTATTCATCTCCTTCCCTGTGGGCTTGGTGTCCCCATAGACTGCAAACTTCTGGAAACAGGTCTCCACCTCTGCTACAGACACTGAGCCCTCAGCCATGCTGGAAGATACACATACAGTATACATGTATTTCTGCTCAGTGTTCAGGACAACAGGAGGATTAAGGTACACTTGACTCATGATAATGTTCAACACATTAGCATAATAGTTGCAATGTCCTAGCACTAGACTTTCAAAAGTGATGGCAAATGTTCTTACTCTGGGTGATGTTAAATTACTTTCTATCCTTGCCAGTACATTCTTTGATTAAAGAACTTTCACAAATTTATCATGACTCTATTAACTGATTGCCTGGCTGCCTGCCAAGAAATGGCTGCCATGATGGGATGGCTAAATCGGCAGTTTCTCTCTGTTTGTCTCATGAACACACACTTTGTGTTTCTGTTATGGTTACGTCTCCCTCACCAGGAGCCTCAGCTGACTCCTCTCGATGTGGAGGAGCAGCGGTTCTACTCTGAGCTCCTCTGGGTGACCGAGCTCCTCACCCTATCTCTAAGGGTGCGCCCAGCCACCCTGCGGAGGAAGCTCATTTCGGCCGCCTGTATCCGGGATCTTGCCCTTTTGGTCATGACCCAAAACTCATGACCATAGGTGAGAGTCGGAACATAGATCAACCCCAAAATACTTAAACTCCTTCACATGAGGCAGGAACTCTCCACCAACCTTAAGGGAACAAGCCACCCTTTTCCAACTGAGAACCATGGCCTCGGACTTGGAGGTGCTGATTCTCATCCCAGCCGCTTCACACTCGGCTGTAAACCGCCCCAGTGCACGCTGGAGGTCCTGGTTTGATGGAGCCAACAGGACAACGTCATCTGCAAAAAGCAGAGGCGAGATCCTGTGGTCCCCAAACCGGACTCCCTCCGGCCCCTGGCTGCATCTAGAAATTCTGTCCATAAAAATAATGAACAGAACCGGTGACAAAGGGCAGCCCTGCTGGAGTCCAACATGCACCGGAAACAAGTCTGACTTACTGCCGCAGGTATTAATATCTAACTTTAACCTGACTCAACCTTTCTTTGTTTCACCAGCACCCCTATCTGTGCCAAATAACTGGCTTTCAGCCAATTCACACAAGGGATCAGAATGTAAATATATTGATAAATTCAGTTAAACTGATGATCAGCTGACACCTTGTTTGAATTAGCCTACTATAAAAAAAAAATGTATACAGTTTATACACATACTAAACTTGTTTGAGGTTGTGTGAAATAATTCACGTGTCTCTTCATCACTGCTGATACTTTGCAGCATCAGCCAGCAAAGTTTCCCTCTTTTTCTGTTGCTCCTCTTCTGTACACCAGCTGCAGGTTTCCTCTTTCTTTCCATGTTTCATTTACTATAACTTGAACCAAACTGCCTGAATGTCACAGCTGTGATGCCAACAGCCCTCATGCTATCATGGCCTGCACCAACAATGTTGCTCACAGCGTATCTGTACAGGATATGAGGTTTGCAGTCTACAAAAGGGTAACAGGACTTCAAGGGTTACAGAGGCCCTTTATATCAGAAGACAGCTAAATGGGGATCATTGATACATTTCATTGGTGCTAGAGTAATGTTTTTTGTTGCAAACAAAACTTGTCTTAATGTGGAGAGGTGCTGTCGAAGCCTCCTTGAACAGTACTGGCAGCAGTGCAGAGATATTAGCACTGATTGTTGGAGAGCATTGTCCTCTGTAACAATCAAAAATTTTCAATTATTTCATGATCTGTAAATTGTGTTGCATTCTCATTTTTTGTAATTTCATAATGACAAATATCTGTAGAGGTGGGCAGAGCGTGTCAGATCGTAGTGGAGCAGGGAGAAAAAGTGCTGAGGTAGCAGAGTGGACTGGAGTTTCATGCTGGTGGTACCTTTAAGTTACAGACTTTAAAGCTACAGTATGTGACACCACATGCACAAGTGTGTAGAATTTGACTTGGTAGCAGTTGTATCAGGATGGCACAGCTGAACGGTGTTAGCACTGTCACCTCACAGCAAGAAGGTTCAAGCCCGACCTGGTGCC